AGTGGGCACAGCAAAACATAAACATTTGAACATTTTAAAGAACTTTAATATGAAGTTGACACTTATCCTTGTTTACATTTTTGTTACTGTTATTGATCATGTGTTTATATGGAGGAAACACCCAGGGGAGGACCCCATGGTTTTCCTCCAGAGGGATTGTAATAATGCTTTTTGGGCTTCCTTTATAACCATGATGCTTTGCGAGGGAGGGGGTGAGAGTTTTTTTTTTTGGCCGTGAGAGTGTTTAGTGGTGAGCGTGGTTTCGTGACATTAAAAAGCGTTGAGATTCTTCCAATTCGTCTTGTTACATTTCCACAACAGCATTTTTGTATAATAAATTAGTCTTGAATTTAGGTCATCTCATTTGCATATTGATATTTCAAATGTTCATATCTCCTAAAAGAAAATTTGACATACAAAAATACTGCAACAATACTACTACACTATTCACATATAAGTGATTTTGAAAGAAAAAAATCCTTGATATACACTTTAACAGGCAACACTAACCCACTTGCTCCTAAAACCAATGTGTGAGATCACTATGTACTACTAAGGCTCAAACTATGGACCTCTTGCTTAACAGGCAGCACACTCCTAACCAACCAAGCCACACTTGCTCAAAACAAGTGTGCGAGGTCACTGAGGATCAAACTATGAACTTCTTGCGTGCAAGACACTGGATGGATGAAACGTTTTTTAAATAAAAATTCTTACCGTTCTGGGAATACTTCACAAACTTTTCACCCTCTAGAAATTAAAAGTAGCAAAATATATCCTTTTAATTTATTAATTTAAGCCTTTTCAATCATCAAATAAGAAGCTCCCAATTACTTGCATACGAAGTTCCTGTGACAAGGAAAAGCTTCAGTTGTAGAGTGAGAAGACACAGAGCAAAGAGCAGCTTCATCTTATTTCAGAATCGTTGTTTCAAGGCTTACAGGCTTTCCGTACTGCAAAAAAACGATTGTTGTTGTTCAAAAAAATCTTCTGTTTGCTTGCCGTTAAACATGTCTTAACACGAATATTTAGAATCCTATTTCCAGTCATTGTGTTCAGTATAACGTTACCAGCGGTGAGCTAACAACTGCCGAAGAAAATAACGTCATGCCCTAAACAATAGTTAGCAGAGGGGTACCCCAGCTCTACTAATTATCCCTAAACCCGTTGATCAGCCGACGATTGTCTTTTCTTTATCTTTTAAAAACACTTACCGATACCTTTATTAGTAACCCCGAGATATGTTATTGGACACATTACTTGGATTCAATTCTGGACTTAATTAAGGCGCGATTACACAAAGCAATTTTCTCTGCAACCTGTCTCGCAACGGCGCGACGAACGTTGCAAGAGTGTTTACACGGTGCAACGGAGACGCAATCCAATCGTTTCCAAAAGTAGAAAAGAATGCTGCAACTTGTCTCGCAATTTTTCTTAATTGCGTTGTAGGTTCACACGCTGCAATGCTCCATGCAACTTGTGACAAGTTGTATAGAAGATATCTCCGTGTAATCGCGCGTTTAGACTTAGATTAGCCCAGAGGTTGTTTCAAGGATCCATAAAATTAATTTTTGATTTGGTTTGCTAATGGTGCAGCTAGTTTTAATCTAGTTCGACGCAGTCCCTGCACCGTTACATGCGATTACATTACAGTTAGTTGAGGATTGTCTTCTATTTTGTGCATCAAATGCTTTCTTCCACTAAAACGTTAAATACACTCTCGCAAAGAGACACAGAGAGTACGATTGTCTTCTACCCCTTCCCCTCCCTTCCATCTCCACACACGCAGGGGGCCAATATGTCTATCACTTGATTGCATAAAATCGAATTTATATCCATATATTATATCCAAATAGCGTGCGCTCTTCACGAGCCAAAACTGCGTCACGCAAGCACAAAATCACATGAAAATAACAAAATTATACTTTTATTATTTAGCACAGCCAATAGATCAAAATCTTTATCGCTTATAATAATAAATTATACATCTATTTTATATTCATAAAGTACGAAAGATCTTCACTAGCATCGATCGATCGTACGCCACCGCCAAATCTTGTTGAAATATCATTGTGTATTTTTTTAAAGTCCTGTTTTGGATCAGGAGTACAGTCTATAGATTAAAAAAAAATCTTGCTCTTTTTATCAATAGAATTGGGAAAGAAAGAATCCATATATACAAATGATAAATTGGTATTATAATTTCAATACCTATTTGACTCTAAGCGGCGCTTTGTTGACTTTAAAAGTGAATTAATTCCTTGTGTTATCATTGTTCTTTCTACAATAAACAAAAGACCTTTGTACTTAGCTTATGATACTTTATAAATTATCCCAAGGGGCATCGTATTTTGCTTTAATAATCTTGAAATTCGTAGCTCTAAACTGGTTAAAAATTGTTACTACAGCAAACTAGCTCTTCGAGTGACCGATAAATCATCTTTGCTCTGAAAAGATGATGCTCTCTCTCGACTCAAATCCGGGGTTGAAATAAAATCTTCATCGCTTTCCATCAAGTTCGATTGATCGAATTTAATATGTCGAATCCCTGCTTGAATCTTGGTAAACATACGCATAATATCCTTATCTTGAGCCCTTAAATCAGCGACTTCTTTGCGAATCCATTCAAACGCCTTCTCTACAACATCGACCCTTTCTTGTTGAGTTTTGTCCGAGCTGTTGTTGATATGATCAAGTAAATCATTGGCGGTTTTACGTGTTCTTAGCTCATTTTCTTTCCAATTCTTCATGCTAAAACTGTTCAAAGGCCGCTTTGGCATTCGTGGTAAGGTTTGAGCTCGTCTTACTCCGTGAGGTCGAGTATAAGTTCCCTTCGGTAAGCTGCCGATAACATCAACCTCTTTGAATAAAACCTTCTTTTCGTCCTTCTCCTTCTCCTCGCTCGAACTAAGCTCCTTCGTAGATCGCTGATTTGGTTCACTCATCGTTCTTAGTAAAAACCCTGGGTTTTGGCTCGATTTTTTAATCTCTTGGCTGACTGAGAATGTATTATTTGTCAGTGATCTTAGGTACGAGGATTGTGGTTTCCGCGGTTGATGGATCAGTCCATATGTAGACAACACGTAACGCTCTTCGGAGTCTGCTTGTGACCTGTCATCTGTGAATCCAAATGAGGCGGTTTCCTGAATATTCACGAGGTTATAATTGCCTTCGGACCTTGTATGGATCACAGGACCACGAGGGATTCTTTTATGCCTTTCACTCGGCGTACCATTCCCGGAAGAACTCAAACTCCTCTTCTTCCATACATCTTCTTGTTGCGCATCAAGATAGCGTTGCGCCATTTCTGCTGTCCGCAGGAATTCAATTTCTCGTGCTTCCCTGCATGATAAGCTCCTCCGACGATTTCCGACTTCCACCCGAGTGTTTGAGTCAGGGTCGCTTCGTATTCGGGCTCGAATCGGGCGGTCGGAAATTCTTTGGTCACTGTCGGAGAGACTTCGGATCCTCCTTACGAAATCTCCCGAAGTACCAGAGATGATTTCTGAAATAATTTTCAATTTTTTGACTTGAATTGAGTCAGCCTTGTCAGGTTTTGTTGAACTGGAGGCGAAGACATCATCGTCGAGATTGTCCGACGAACTAAATGTCGTAATCGTTAATCCGTCGGGTTCAGTCGAGCACATCGACGCCGTGTCAGGAAATGAATCAACTTTCTCTTTCAAATTTTCGCCTGAACTGACAGTCCAACCTCTTTGTCTGAATATTTGTCGACGTAGGTCCAAAGCAAGTCTGTTTGTGAATTCTTTTCCATCATCTTTGCCGATAGCCAAATCTTCCTCTGGCAAAGAAATAAGAGAGATGCTTCTACTATGGCGGCCAATTTTGGCGCCATTTTTTCGCGCCTTTTTCCACTTGCTGTAAAGTGTCTCACTTGTCAGATCGTCGAATGACTGGGAGATGGTTTTAAGGTGAAGAAGATTAACGTTTTCTTTGACTGGATTCACTGGTGAAAACAGCCCAGTTGCGAACCCAGAACCACACTCAGATAATTCTTCGCGTTGCATCCTACCAACTTGCTTCATTTAGGCTTCTGAAATTTTTTTGATTTCTTCTGTCCAAGTTTAAGGCCAAGATATTTGCTTGGTTTTCGAGGCTCTGTTCAACGTCCTTTCACTGAGGGAAAACGTTCTTTAATCATTAACTTATTCTCGGGCAAAGTTTTGAATTTTTTTGTTTGTGATGCTTGTTCAACAGCAGTGATGTCTGATGCGGCCACTGCTTGCTGTGAAGAACTTCCTCAAAGGTTGTTACGTCACAGATTGCCAAGCGGGAATGTAGCAGGTTTATACGATGTTATTGGGCAACTGTCATTTACTCTGCAAAACAAAAGTTAACGTTACTTTGTTTGTGAGAAACGTAAAACAAGGCACCTGTGTTGTGGGAAACTAAAAATAGAATGGCATATGTTTCAAGTCGCTCTGTCATGCTCAGGACTCTTCATTTTACATGCCCTGCAACATGGCTGCCCATGGAACGCCACATCTTTTGACCATGTCTAATGCAATGTAACACAACTTGCAACACACTAAGTTTTGAGAATATATCTTAAGAGGGGGACAGACTTGCCGAACTGATCAATTATCTGCAAATTGCGTTACACTAATTGCAAAAACGTAATGGCACCAACAAAAAATTTGTCACTTTGTGATCATGCAACTTAAAACGCATACAAGATGAAAAACTGAAGAAGAAGGAGGAGACGAAGAAGAAGAAGAAGAAGAAGGAAGAACAAGAAAAGAGACTGAAGACGACGACGACAAAGAAAGAAGAAGCGCTGTAAGGAAAATCAAAATCAGTGTTTGAATTCTAACGCAACAATCACAGAGCAACTTTAATTTAATGAAGATTTTCCATACACTGATAAATATTTCGTGAGATGCGCTGGTTCCATATAAACGCTGATAAATGTGCGTTGCTTGTTGCAATGACAGCATTCAGAAGTGTAACATCTTCATCCGGTCTACACGTTACATAATCATAGTCATAAAGCTAAGCGAAAGCGATATCATTCAAAGTCCCGCCTTTTTAAACATATAAATCTTTACAAGACAAATTTATTGTCATTTTAAATCAAAGTCTGCGAGAGATAAGTCCCTAAAATACGTACTTGAAATAACTCAAACTAAGAGGAACTCATTAGAGAGCCTAAAGAAACTCGCTAGGCTCGCAGCCATTAAAGATCAACTTTCATCATATAATTATCCATAAAATACCTTTATTTCTCCTTTTCGAAAAACTGATATTTTCACATGTGTAAATATGATGTTATCATGTGAAAATATCGTTACCATGAGTATTTAAGCTATTAGTTTATGAATAAAAACGTTTTATAATAATAAAAAGCTTATTAAGTTGATTTTATGGATAAATATATAATAAAAAGAATATTACATGGGCGCTTGGAGATACGAAATTTATCTTCTCGTGTTGAAAATCTCTCACTCGTTTGCTAGCTGCGCTCACTCGTGAGAGATCTTTTCAACACTCGAAGATAAATTTCGTATCTCCAAGCGCCCATGTAATATTCTCTATGACTTTGAATTTTTCAATTATATTTTGCTGCACTGAAATATAAAATAACCAAACAAAAAACTAAACTGAACAAAATTTCATAATCAAGTCCAGTATTTTATTTAAAAGAAACTAATAGAAGAATTTCGATCTTTCTAGTTTAGGAACTTTTGGTAAAAAGGTTCATGTCAACACTGTATTTAAATGTACCTCTCAAGACCTCACACTGCGAAGCTATTTGCCAACAAGATTTTAGTCAAACCGTAAACAAAAGTTGAGCAAATTTTTGTACTTTTAACTAGTTCCCGTGGTTTCGTAAGTAAATAACGACAAATAATCTTGGCAAACAAAGTGAATTGAAAAATAATAATTGAATTTTAGTATTATTCTTTCTGCTTTTCAAAACACCTAAAACGCTTTACTTACCAGTAAAATGCCTGCTTTTAAACAGTGAAAAATGGTTAAATTCTAACTGAAGAAACTTGAAGCGTTCAGTTCTGCTGTGCTTGGAATTTGCCCAGAACCTCTCGTTTAAATAACGGAATCACTTCAATCAATCATGGGATCCAACTTTTTCTTCAAAACATCCATTGTTTTCTTTGTCCGTTGAAGATTACACAAAAACAATAAAAATATTTATGAAGATTAGAAAAAAAGCGTCCAAAAATATTTGTACAGTACAGATATTGTACAAGAATGAAAACCTATACATTTTCTGTAATCAAATGACTCGACTTCGGAGGGATTTTGAAAACAAGGTTCCAGGTTTTTTTCTCCCCTGAATAAATATTTGATTGACTAATTGAATTCCTTAAGTTTACATCAATTATTTGCTGGCTCAACCTTCATAATCTGTACAAAAACAATGCTCCTTTGATGTCAAAATAAATCTTAACAAAAGTTTCGATAAATTCGACACGAATTAAGCACACGAGATACAACATCAACAACGTTAAAACTGGAAGCCATTTTTCGATTAAATTTCAGCAGGGTTCTATTCTATTGAACTGGTAAAAAGGTATTTTTCCTTACTGAGATATAACTTTTTGTTTTGACTGAAGTTTTAAGGAGAAAATATAAATTTTTGAAATGTAATTAGAAGCTTTGCTCGAGGGCATGCAGTAAACCATGTTTCATAGGATTAATGGTTTCTTTTGGCTTATTCTCAACATATAAACACTCCTTTCTACCACTTCTTTCTCTTTTACTCCGACGAAGGACTAGCGTCCGAAACGTCAGTAAGTTTTTTCATCTTTTCACGGTGTATAATTTACCTTTTTATCATTACTGTTTCATTAGAAACACCGACGCAGCTCACACTAGCCTTTAGCAAGTTATATCTTTATTTTAAAATGGAGATTATTGATAAAGATATTTTTGGTCTTCTTGGTAACAGCCGTAAGTGAAAAGCCTATAAACCAATTTTCCCCTACTCCACCCACTAGAAAGAATCATCCCCCTACCCTACCCTACCTATCACCAAGTATGGTGATATGGCAGCTTTTCTTTCCTTTTACTGACAAAAAGAGGTCATACATCAATACCTGATTTTTGAATTTGTAAAAGAAATGTTAACGTTATATTTGGCACTCTTTATTTACAATAACGATGGAGTAAGATTTTTCTACTTTTCTTGAGGATGATTGAAGGATTCTATGATAACTCCAATACGCATTCCCCAAAATGCTGTGCTTTCATTTATTTGGGGGGGGGGGGGGGGGGGGAGAAGGAATCGGTCAACAAACTGCAAGTAGCTTGAGAGCAGGTTAAAATTTAAATCTGACGTATTAGTGTAACGCAAGCCCTAGTAAACTGTTTACTAGGGCTTGCGTTACGCTAATAGGTTTACGTGTATCTGCTATCAAGTTACTGGTAGTACGATTACCGGAAATTCAACGCATTTTAATTTTCAAATCTCATGCTCAACACAGGAAACCCAGAGTACTTTGTTGATTTATTTGTTCATGTACAGCCGGGCTCCCTGTGCACTGAATAGAAGTACCCCCTCTACGGGCACAAACAAAGTACTGCCAGCCCCTTGGATTATATTTCATACCGATAAAAGCCTTGGTAATAAAATTTGCGCTGGTTAGAAGACTGGGAAACGATCCAATGAATATGAGTAGAGCCTGGATATGAGAATGTTATTCGAAAAGATTTTGCGCCATCACACGTCGGCGGCCATTTTTGATTACAGAACATGCAAAACAAGAGAAAATGAACTAAGAGAAGGAATCCCCGTGCCCCATCATGTGCACACTTTGATGCTATTTTTAGAATCACTGATGCTATTTTTAACTCGTTACCATGCCTGCGCGATAATAATGCTTCCCTTTATTCCTCGTTTTAGGACACGAAAAGCGCCATATTTCGCTACGTCCACGACAAAAACACAGGCTTTTGTTTACTGCAAGACTTGAAGCCGCCTACCCTTAAGAAATCAACCAATCAGGTTATTCGCTTAAAATATCTCCAAGCTAAAAATAGCATCAAACTGTGCACATGATGGTTACAAGGCTATATGGGTAGGATTCCTTCTCTTAGTTCATATCATCTTGATGCAAAACCTCTACCGATCGAGGTCCCGTGCGCAAAAGTATTCAGCATTGCTGGGTTTCGATCAGCTGATAAAACTCTTTGAATCTCATTATCTGCTCCAAATGGTGGTCACACACTGACTTCAAGTGCTGTCAACAACAAATAATCCTGATAAAAATTTGTGATTCAGTCGATGAACATTCAACACGAGACAAATTCAGTTTTCCTAAACTTGAATTTCTTCTTCTTCCGCGTCCTTAATCCACGAAAACTCGCCGTAATCAATCTCCCCGTCACCATCTTCATCGAGTAAATTAATAAACAAGGTCAGGTCCTTATCCTCCATGGGTACCCCAATCCCCTTCAGACCGGTATAAAACTCTTCCCTACTGACAGACAAGCTTTTGTCCTTGTCGAACTGGTTAAAAAGATCGACCATACGGTAGTTCATTCTTTCCACGTACGCCATCAATTTGCCCATCAGCTCGAGTAGTTTCTTTTTCTTGCTGTTCCCGCCCAGCATTGCATCGAGATCATTCATTACGTTTCCTGATCTGTTGCTGTACGTGCACGTGATGGCGAAGAACGGGCGCATGCCGATGATGTGATCGACAAGTTCTTTCGTCTCCACGTCGATGACCACTTTGTTCAAGCAAAGCCGCTCCATTGCGCATTCTATGTTGTTCTTCATGGCGTCTAGTAGTGCATGGGCCCCTGCATTTTGGATAGGGTTCATACCTATCCTGTATGGAGACAACAAAAAAACATTTCACATATAAATAAAATAGATGCGGGCATAAATGAAGCGAAACATTTACTGGGGTACATGTTACGTCATAGCTGCCATGTTGGTTAACGATAATAAAGCCTCAGTCCTCATTAGCTTCTCTCGTTAGATCAAACAACATGGTGGCTGTTTCATTGGTATCCTCCTATTCTTGTGGTGCATGTTACGTCATAGCCACCATGCTGGTTGACGATAACAAAACATTCCTCAATAGCTTTAAAATTATTTTGCTACGTCGACCAACATGGCGGCTGTTTCATTGTCATCTATATCTCAAGGGATTTTGAGTCACATGGTTGCACTCCAAGAATAGTGCAATGAATCTCTCTCACTGGTTGGTAGCCACGGGGTCGATTTAAACGATTAGACCAAGACCCCAGAGGTGAGAAGCAAGAGTACTACCCTCGCTCGTTCCTTGATTCTCATAGACGCACACACTATGAATAGACTTCTTCAGCTTGGGGTAATGTTGTCCCATCTCAGACCACGTGTCATCCCCTTGAGAATAAGATTCTTTGTTTGAGCTGTATCCATATTCATGTGTCTTCTCATGTGCAACCGAACGCAAACCTTAAACAAAGAAATGATACTCTAGGGAATGACATGTGGTCTGAAATGGGAAAACATTACGTCAGAGCCGAAGAGGTCTATTACTGCCTAAAGGTACGGAAATTTAATACACGCAACGTTGCTGAAGTAGAAAACGATCCAGCTTTAGCAACATTGCCTGCAATATTGCGGGCAGTGTTGCAACGTGCTTCGGTAGCTTGAGCTAGGTTATTTTCTGTTTCAGGCAAAATAACATGCTCCTTCGACCATTGTAACTTCGTATATCTAGGATTTTGGCTTCCACTAATCAAAAATAGATACCTCATGAGCATGCGCACACTAACCTCAGTACTTTGAGAGTATCATTGCTCTTCAATCCCTCAGCCATTCTCAAAGCACCTTTAGTGGATATCCTATTATTGTTCAAGTCCAACTCCACAAGAGTATTATTTCCTTTTAATGATTCCCCAACGGCCGCAGCCCCGTCGTCAGAGAATCCATTCCAAGATAGATCCAGGACCTTGAGAGTACAGTTAGCGCGGAGGCCTTGTCCTATGGCTAATGCTCCTCGTCCTCTGAGATGGTTCCAGCTGAGGTTGAGTACTTCGAGGGAGTCGTTTGCGTGTATTGCGGGCCCTAATGAGATCACATAGCTACGATGTAAACACCAAATACTTCGCGTATGCACCTACAGTATTTCAAAAAAAAAAAAAAACCGCCAACGGGCGATAGGCGATAGGCCATTCCGAGACGGGAATGGTTTTCGTCGACTACCAACAACATTGAATCAGTCTCAACACCAAGTTCCATGTTCTTGACGAGAATAAGAAGCAGAAACACAACTCATTCCAGCTATTCTTGGATATTGGGATGACCTATCTCTAATTGCTTTTCGCCTATTGCCTATCACCTTTGGCAATGACAAAGTTTTTTGAACGTTGGTATATGATTTTCCGATTGATTATATTTCGCTTCCGGAAAATTTCGCATGCGCCAAAAAAAAAAAAAAAAAAAAAAAAAAAAAAAAAAAAAAAAGAAAAAGAAAAAAAAAAGAAAATGGACCATGCCCTTGTTCTTCGCCGCAGGTCAGAAGAAATGCAAGTTCTAAGTACGAGATTTTCTCCAACTTACCAAAGATTTTCCCAGCCTCTTCCTCGAACCCATTCCCGCTCAAGTCCAGCTTCTTCAAGGAATGATTGCTTTTTATCATATCGGATAAAATAACCGCGTCCTTGTCTCTTAAGTTATTCCATCCAAGACTCAGGCTTTTCAGTGTCGTATTCTCGTTGAGGGCATCACAGAAAGCTTCGCAGCCCTGTGTTCGTATATTATTATGGGATATGTCAATCTCTGTGACGTAGAAGTTTTCTTTGAGGATTTTAGATAATTTTACTCCGCCTCCTGGACCTTGGACAAAAAGAAAAAGAAAAATTAACTTTGACCCTTTGCAGTGCGACTACTATAGCCTGGGCCACGTAAAGACAGCCAGAATCAATCAAATTATAGAATGAAAACGATAAATTACATGTAACATCAGGGTCAAATTACCATTCTCGTGAAGTCTAGTACCCCATTCACACCAAGGCTTAAACATGTTTTAAAGTGGTTTAACTAAACAGGTTTAAAAAACTATCTACGAACACTGCGCAATATTTGGTGAAATAATGCATGTAAATTATTCTTTGTCTTGCTCTGATAATATTTTAGAAAGTTTCATTATATTGTAGGTTTCTAGTTTCTCTTCCTTTTTTTGTTTATGAAAACATAGTTTAACTAAACACGTTTAGGTGTGAATGGGGTATATGCTTCTGATTTGCTCAACTATCCAACGTTGGAATGCATTGTTTTCAGTCTACATTTTGATTGGTTAGCTGTACAAGTGGCCCCGGTTATAGTAGTTGTACTGTAAATACTACAAGATTATTTCGTTGAAGAGAAATTCTCTCTCGAATATAATAAATCTTTTTAGTAAAATTCGCAAAATACTGTAGTGTTTCTTGATTACAGACTCATTTGCTCAGGCTTAACCTCGAATCAGTGTCTAAATATTCACAAATACCAACGGTAAAGTAGAGAATGCACAACTTCAACTATACAAACACTCACGGACCTTTGCTGAGTGCAACAGATAAATATTTTATACGAAATTGAGGTCAACCCTAAGGAACAGAGAATTTCAGTTTCCTGCGCCATCTTGAAAGGTAACCGTGCCTGTGCGTCGAAGCGAGGACGGCGGTAACCTTCCGTGTGGGATCCAATCTCGTACCCAGAGCCCTTATTTCTTACTGCGCATGCTCGACGAAATAATTGGGCTCTGGAAAACTCCAAACCGGAAGACCCAGATTCTGGGTTTCTCGCACATGCGCATTATGACAGACTAGATAAATTCAAAATGGCGGACGATGTTCAACGAGCATGTGAATTTGCGCTTGGAAAATTAGGTTTTGAAGATGGTTTTCAGTTAAATTAACTCCGAAAATATCTATTGAATAGATATCAATACAATTTCCATTACAAAACCGGCAAAACTTAGAAAAATCCGGCCCTACAGGCTTTCTTGGTGTACTTAATTCGAGACGCCATCTTGTTTATTTTCCCTAGTACTGTAATTCTTACTTCCGGTATCTTCCTTTGTTCTCGAGAACCAATCACAGCACAGGAAATATTGGAGTTTTCCAGAGCCCAATTATTTCGTCGAGCATGCGCAGTAAGAAGAAAGGGCTCTGGGAACGAGATCTTGGATCTTGTAGGATCTTAAAACCGCTACTCACCTACTGCGCAATCCCGGAAGTTAATTTTCGTTGTCGTCGTATTATTCATCAATGCCATCGCAACCGCTTTTGCCCCACTAGGTCCCAGTCCATGATGCTTGATATCAAGCACCTCGTTCGTGATGTGCTCCAGCACAAAAGAGACTGGCACTATTCCTAGGTGTGCGCAGGCTTCCCGATATGCTTTGCGACCAGTGGGATCAAACTCGTCTCGCTTTTCTTCGACTTCTAGGTCTGTGTCGTAGTCACTGTCGTGAATCGATTCTTCGTCGGAATCTTCGTCTGCATGTTTTACCCCCGCGGGGGTAGTAGTGCGTTTAAGATTGCTCTGACTAGTGACTGCACGATTTGACTTTTCTGTTAAACAAACAGCAAAGATAAACGGTTAAAGTTGCTTATCGGTAACACTGTAGATAAAATAAACTTGGTTCAAATGAGGCCTTAAGCTACTGTGTGTTGCATACTGAGATGAAGAGTCTAAGGCCTAGGGCAAACGTCGAACTTTCCATGTACCGAACTTATTAAAAACAATGGATATCAGGTGATAATGAAGTGGCATTCTTTGATGTAATTAAGTTCGGTGCATGGAAAGTTCGACGTTTGCTCTAGGCCTAAGGCTTTTATTGTCAACGACTTCATCAGAGACTTAGAAAAGTTTGGCGGAGGCTGTTAGAGATGTTAGTTAAAACAGGAAGTCCCATGATCCTCACGTGATTTAATTGCTGGCCAGTTTTCGTATGTAGAAAGCCTCAAATAAGCGGAGGCTCCTCACGTGCGGGATCACTCTGAAATTTAAATCCCATGTTTTAATTTGGTTTGCACTTTTTGCTATAACTTATAGCCTAGTAGTAGCTCATCTACTCAGAACACAGCCGGTTGTAAATAGCCACTAGTTGGATTTGTCTTATAGACATTAATACTGACTTCGGCTTTGTTTTACATGGTGAGCACTCTAACTAACTTACTGCTCGATCTTCTGCTTTTCGCGCTCTCCCTACTCGTTGTTTTTCTTTCTTCTTCTGTTATCAATCCGGGAACTTTTTCTGTGGTGCTACCTATTTCTTTTTCTTCCTCTTTTTGTACTTCCGGTTCATTTAAAGATTTGGCGGCTGTGACGTCATCATTCATATTTTGGTTGACGTCAGACATGTCACGTGATGTGAATCACCAGGGGCCACGATTTAGAAACCAAATTAACTCACTCAAACGAAGGTAGAGACCTGGTTTCTTTCGTTGGCGGTGTCATCCCTAGCTTTGATATCTTTTCTAAAAAGAAAAAAAAAATAGATGCATGAAACTCATGAAAGCACAGAGAGAGAGAGAGAGAGAGAGAGAGAGAGAGAGAGA